CTGACAGATTTCATACACTGGGATATCACCTCAAGTCTCACTAAAAACTATTTTAAGTGAATTTTATATGCAGGGGCTAGAAAATCTGCTTTTAGAAGCTCTTTTTATAAACAATATAGTTTTTGATAGCTTAAGTTTTATCCTCAACCTTATTTAAGAGGTCTGCAATGCAGGACAGCATGCTCCTAAGTGAGAGGCACCCTGAGCCAGATGACCTGCACTGAAGCAACCCCAAAGGCAGTGCAGCTGGTGACCCATTTCACCTAAGATGCCATAAAGCAGTTGCTTCACTTACCTTAATTTGAAGTGGCCACTTATGTTCAATCATCATTCCAGCTGACAAGAGAAATACAGCATGCCAACTCCACTCTGAATTACTGACATCAACAGCTGTTTTATATCTACAGACAGAGCTTGTAAACATGTAAACAAGTCAATTAATTAAGATATCACAGTAAAAAGGATGTGAACAGTTTGAAGTCCAACCCAATGTTTATGGATCTGCAGATGCTATGTCAGAATATATAAATATATTTTTTAAAAGACACAAGAAAGAGCAAAATTGGCTTGTTTGTAGGAGGCAGAGAACTATTTTCTTCTGTTTGCTGAAAGGCTCCACCTTCTGCTTGCAGAATAGAAAGACTTCAGCCCTTTCAGGAAGGAAAATACTGCAGGAAGTCCTGCTCCCAGCCCACAGCAGGTCCACCCTGGGCACCCTGCTGAGGAAATGGACAGTATGCTCTTTACTTTTCCTGCACGTCCAACAGGTGCTCCAGCCAATTCTCTTCATTTGCATATGGGCATGTGCATGAGAACATTTATACATGGGTTGGCAACACCCACTCCATGCAAAATCAAAAGGGTTTGGGGGGAAAATAACAACCCAGGTGATCATGGAGGCTGAAATTCCATGTAACAGAAACCTTCTTAAACCACTGCATCCATCAAGGCTGCGTCACCAAAATGAGCTCTTGACAGATGTGAAATCAGAGGAATTGTGAGCCTTTGTAATATGAACACCACGTCCTGACTGGGAAAGGTGTCAGCTGTGCTCTCCCTGCCCAAACATATACATCCATGTAAGAAAACACAGTGTGTGGCTGTTCTCTATGAAATACATGATTTCGGTTTTAGGCTGTAAAATATAGGGACTTTAATGATCATTTCTTCTTCTTCAGTCCGTTGATCAGAGGGCATTTTGGATAGAGTTGTTTCAAATAACTTTGCTTCATACATGTAGCAGATGACAAGGCAGAGGCCACTTCAACAAGAAACTTAAACCCATGCCACTTTATGCAACTTGAGGTCTCATAAAATATATCAGATTGGAGACAAAAGAATTTTTGCTGAAGATGTCAATGTTGCCAGTCAAGAGCTCGGAGTTGGGGAGGTTTAAGCATTTGTCTTTGGAAAACCACCTCCAACACGGTGTAAATCAGCCACAGAACTGAATGACAGCAGCTGAACTGTTGAAACAAGACTTTGTGTCCTAATTCAGAAAATGTTTCTTGCATATGGATGTTGCAGTGCTGACCTCTAGTGACAAGCATCCCAGAACAGAGCTGGGACAAACCACACTGCTCACTTTCCCTCCAGTGTCTCCTATTCCATACCTTAGGGAGGCAAGCAAACCCCATCTGCACCCCGCACCAGCCCTGGGGCACTGACTCCCAGTTAATACTGTGAATGTGGTATCTTTAGCAAGCAAAACGCTTGTAAAAAATAATAAAAGATAACTGAGTGAAAATCATTCGCCCAAATGATGTAAAGCAGAACACGGAGAAATTGGTGCAGTAATTCAAAAGTTAAGCAGCATATCACTGATTTCCAATGCATTCCCCACTGGCTGTCAGGTACTTAGCACCTTGTTAGGCCAAAGAGCCAGATCTATACCATTTTTAAAGAAATGCAATACTGCTGCTTGTTTGGGATCTAGACGGCCAGCAAGGACCCAGAACAAATAGATTCACAGCTGGACATGGTGGGGATGCAATGACTGACAATAAATCTAGCTAGGACACTGGCACATCTATATAAGCATTAGAATCACAGAAAGTGGAAAAGTAATAATGGTACGTGCCCAAGAAGCAGCAGTGACACGGGAACAGAAAGCAAGCTTAAGGAACTGGGTCCTGTTTGTTTTTAACCTCTTCATAATACCCAACTTCATGGAGCTCAGCCAAAACAAATCTGTTTTTCCAAATCATCTCTGCAACAGCAGAGGCAGCTTCTCTCAGAAGAGCAGACCAGATGGCCAGGACATGGTGACTACTTCAGCAATCCAACTTTAATATGCTGACACAAGCTGGAGCCCAGACTAAGCATACAGAACTAATTTGACTTATTTTACAAACATTTTCTCCCTATCTGAATAAAATAAAATCCAATCTCTTTACTTCAGATGTTCCAGACCACACCTGGAAGAATTCTGTGCAGAGTCACAATGACCTTCTCTCCATCTGTGCACAGGTGGTTTGGCTACAGTAACACAGACAAACTCAACTCAGGAATCCAGATTAAGGCACCCAGACAGCCAAGGCATCCTCTGTGTCTTTCTCTAACTTTCACAGTCTTGGCAGCGAGACAGAGCAGCTTGAATTTCCCATCTGTTGAATCAAATCCAGCTGAGGTTGGTAATAAGTGAACTCCCTCACTTCTGGCAGCTGCTGAGCAGGCCACACAAGCTGCTTTCAATACAGTTCCTCAGAGGTAATGACAAAGGAAACCATTCCTGGTGTCTCACTTTGGAGCCATGTCAGTGACAACCCTTCTGGGAGGTTCAGGACGAAGACTTTCACTAGAGGAGACTTGCAAGGTCCTGGAGGACTATCTTTGTGGTACAACTGCTTTTGCCATGATGTTCTTAGGGACCAGTATTTTAAGAAAAAATATCTAACCTGAAAAAACCTTTGCATACTTGGAGAATAACGTGAGATTTGAAGCACTGCAGCGTCGCTCAGGCAGCCATTCCCCTACTGGAAGTTTAGAAGAGTTATTTCATGGTTTGAATGCATGAAAAGTTAAATATTTATAGAATATTTCTGTGCTTTAAACATTTCATTTTAAAGAGGTCTGCATGTCAGAGCACTGTGTGTACTTAAACCTATGGCTTTCTAGCTTCCTAGTCCTGCCAGTGCACATCTGTCCCATCCAACAGAACACAGTAGGGACACAAAGAATAGAGATTTCCACATTCCTCAGAGGCAGCTCATTTCAACAGCTATGCTTTACCCCTTGGGTTGATTATCCACACAACAGGACAAGCAATACAAAAGTACCCGTGCTGGAAAGACACATGATGAAACATGAAACATTAACCAATTTTTAAAAATGGGAATGAGAGGCTATTGAAACATCCAGTGATTGCCTCTGAAGAAAAAGATCTGTCAGAAAACAAAAAAACATCCCAGCACCTCTGGGCACTTCATGTGAGCAGGAATAGTAGAGAGACAGATAACCCTGTTTACAATCTCAACAAGAAAGAGCTTCCTCTGAAATTCACCCAAATGATTTAAAAGAAAAGCTGTGTTGAACTACTGTCACATTTACTGCACCTGAAATAGTTTAAGTTGTCTTATTTCTTTTACACTAACTTCTATAAACATTTCCAAACAAGGGTGCACACCCACTGGCAGAGCTCAGCCAGAACACTGCAGCCCAGAAGCAGAGCCCAAGCCATAAATTGTATTTGTTAAGAGTCAAGAAAGGCATAACACACCAACAGCTTCACACTGTCAGGGGCGAAAGCCATGAAGGGAAGTTTTACAGAGAAGAAAAAGGCAGTCTATAAAAATAAGAGCTTTCAGTTCAAGCCATTCCAAATCCATTGCAAACAAGACTCAGGTACGGCCAAGTAACAGCCTAGCAGCACACATCCTTCCCACAATGACCACAACCACATTTTCACTATAAGAAGGAAACCTCATTTCAGAGTTCAAAAAACCCTTTTCCCATTTTCCACTTGAGGGTCAAACCTGAATCTAAAACTATTCATCAAAAGTCTGAAGCACAAACACAGCAGGAAGCATGAAAAAGGTAAGAAGTCCTTGGGCTGAAAATCAACAGAAAGGAAAGTCCCCAACATTTGGGAATTCAGACTTCAGCTAGAGGTTACACCACGTGCAGAAGACCACCACAGTACTTTAGCAAGATGCTCATGAGTGAGAGAATTCAGGAACTCAAGAGTTTCAAGAAGATATTAAGTTCCTTGTTACTGTCTCACATAAAATATGTTTAACAGCAGAATAGTTATCTACAATCAAAACACATTGTTAGAGCAGAAGCAGAGATCTGAGACTTGCAAAAGCAGCCTAATGAAGGTGAGAAAGAGCAACAGAAGAACAGTATCTCATTTCCTCCCTCTCCTAGAGGGAGATGCATCAACTCAGCAGCAGAGGAACAGGGAAACTTCACCTTTGGATCCTCAAAGAGATGCTTCCTTAAATATTTCTTGGGGGAAAACAGAAATCACACTTGTTTAAAAATACATCTTAACCACCACCAAGGGCAAGAACACAACACAAACCAGGTAAGAATAATACGTGTGCAGCATCCGTTTAAAGCTTTTATTAAAAAAAGACCCAGAATTCACAAGTTTACAAGCAGAATCAACCAAACTTACATCATCTGTTTTCACAGCTGATAGCATTTGGCTCCCTAAGGGAGCACAAAAAGCACCAACAGAAGTTATCACAGGTCAGGGTACTGCTTCCCTTCTGCAATAACTTCAGCACAGCTCAGACTGTCACTTCGTTTTCCAAGACTTTCTTTGGAATAAATTACTATTAATCTAAGTGCTCCTGGCTTAGTGCTTCAGTCAGATTACCTTTGTCTCCCAGGAATGTAAACCTCCACTGAGAAGTATCTTTAAAAACAAAACTACCAAGCAAACAAACAAAACCTCAAAACTTTGACTTTCAGATCTGTTCAAAACACTGCAGGCAAAAAAAAAACAAAAAACAAAAAAGAAAAAAAGAAAAAAAAAGAAAACCAACTCTATATGGATATAACGTAACATTTTTATTATAATAAAATACTTTCTCTGCAGTCAACCAACCTGCAGAACTCTGCTGAGCACCATGACACACAGAACTCCCTGAAGTCAGCCAACAAGAGCTCACTCACCCCTGTGCACCTGGTGCTCTGCTCCTACAGCAGCTCCTTGCTCAGTGCAACCTGTGCTTGAGAAGGCCAGATGCTCCTGCCTTTAAAGGAGGATTAGTGCTTAGGAACTTATGTCTAAATACATAAGTGAGGCTTCATGGTTAACAAAAAGAAAACAATACTGAAAATGCACTCTGCAGGAGTTTAGTGGGAATTAGCTCTGCTCAGGAACAAGCTTTCCACAGCAATTATAGAGAGAGTGTAACCTTCGCAATGAAATGCAACCACTTTTTCCAGAGTGCCAGAACTCAGTTCTTACATTTAACTCTTCCCATGTTTTTTAGTTGCAGTCTCTTACATAGATCAAATTTCACATTAATCCTGACTTACATGAGGTTACTGCTAAGCCTATGATCTAGTATTAAGTTCCAGGGCTTGTACTTTTTGAAGGGTAGCATTAGAAGTGCATAACTTACTTCCTCAGAAATATTGACTTGAGCCAAAATAGAAGAGGCAGCCTTTCTCACATTTTCTATAAGAAGAATGAAACAGACTGTTTGCAATATGGCAATAAAGTTGTCCAACTTGAGAGGCTAAATATTCCATGCTTACACCACAACTCATTTCACAGCAACATGATTACTATAGGAAAGCTTCTACATTACAGCCATGGTTGCACACTAAGAAATCAGGTCTTTGCTATTGGTTTGAGCTACTCACTGAAGACTTAAGGATGGTTTAGCATGTAGTTCATGTGTTCAAGTGAACAGCCAGACGATTCTTCCTCAGTATGTGTGTTATTTACCTCAAGGTGCAGAAAGGAACTTAAGCCACATACTTTTAAAATGAGATCTATGCTTGCAGAAAAACATGGCGTATCGTTCTGCCTTCACTGCAACAGTTCTCAGTACTGGAAATAAAGTTTTGTGTACAGGAACATCAGCGTATTTCTGCTCTTGCAAGTGGGGCAAGATGCTATTTCAACATGCTTCTGTGTGCCATTGTCGATAAATAGGAAGAGTAATTATCTGGTAGCTGCAAAAAAATAACATTTAAAAAATATGCATCACAATGAGCGTGCTTCTCAGCTTATTTGGTCTGATTCATCTCCATTTTCCTCATTACATTTTTAACTACCATCAGGGAGACCATTTCTGAGAACGAACACACATTTAACACTTTACTCACAGTTTAAGTTGTTGGCTATTTGGAACAATAAGCCAAGTTCTTAAAGCAGACATTTTAGTCTCTATTTATTACTGTTAGAAGCCCTACTTTGTTACTAATACCTGAGCGCCTAGTCTGGAGAGGTATTTATTCCTTAAGCTAAAGTCATCATCTTTTGGCTGTAATTTAGCCAAGTCATCTTCATTTTGACGTCTGAGCCTCTCTTGTTCTTCTGCTCTGGAAAAGAAAACTCATTTAAGAAATTTGCACTGAGGAGTGCAAACCCAGCAACTCTATCTTATATATGGCAGTTTTATTTCCTACAGCTAAAAATACCCCCAAAGTTTGTAGATGAATTTGGAGCTTTAGATTAAAATAAAGCTGTGAATGGATTACACTTATCCACTGTAAAGAAAGAGAGAGGCTATTTTCAGCAGTTTCCTTTTATTTACCTTGCAAGACTCCAGTAGAAAGAGAAATCTTCATTTCCACAGATAACAATGTGCCCAATGAGCATTTGTAACACAACTTAACACCCCTTTATTAAACAAACTTTTACTCCTTAAAATATAAGATCACAATACAAAAGCATCAATAGTCAAAAACGCAAATAAGAGACTGCTCAGCAGTCTTCAGAGTTAATAGCAACTTCCTACAAAAGAGTCAATATTTGATCAGAACTCTGACAGTCATTTTCCATGCAATTCTTAGAGGGAAAGAGGACTGAACAAAGCTCTGAACATATTTAGCTTAGAACAGTAGTTTGCATTAAGACAGTGACAAAGGCAGTAACAGTGAGCCATTTGCCATTTCTAAGGAAGGCAATGAACCTTATTCTAGTACACAAAATGCTGTTAGGAGATCTTCACCCACACCACAATGGTTCAGTACTGTACAAGTAAGATACTTTATACTAGGCTTTATTTTGAGATGAACACGTTTGTCCTGGGCTGCAGGTGCCCTCTCCCATGAGGCAGCTTCAACAGTGAGAAAGGCTGTAAACCAATTTGTTCAAGTGTTAAGAGATGATGTGGCATTAGTTAAAAGTTGTTACAAAGCATAAAAATTCAACCATTTACTGAAAAATCACCAGCACCAAATTTTTTTTTTTTTTTCCAAAAGAACTATTGTCCAGTGTTGATCAAACTAAGTAACACTACAATTCTTCAAAGTTGACATGATGCTCCCCATCAAATGCTCCCCACTTCTGGATGATATTTGCTATTCAAATTTCTTTTCTGCAAAAAACATTTTAATAAAAATTACTGAAAACGTTGCTCTAAGGCATTATATAACCCACAACATACTCCAAGACAAAGCCATTGCTCACAATGAATACTGATGGGTTACACACGTGGTCCAGGCAGGCTGAAAGTCAGCTCTATTTGGACACAGATTTCCTCTGCTCTGAGTACATAGTATTTTGTCACCACTGTTGTATTTGTTTTAAAAACTGGCTGTTTTGGCTCTGTGACACTCATCACATCTAAACTTGCCTGCTTACCAGGTCTGATGAGGTTTTAATTTCCTTCAGTTTTCCTCAAGGTTGATGTATACCATAAAGGAGGTGGGGAACCAAGACAATGTTACATTCCATCACAAGTCATAGAGAAGATTTTTTTGGCAGGCTGGGGTTTCATTTACTTACCTTTAAATTAAGTGTAAACTGCATAATTACATGATGATTTTAGAGAAATCTATGAAGCCATACAAATAAAATGTCTCGTTATCAAGGTATTTATCTGCAAAGAACTTACATACATGTGTTTTGCACAGTACCTGGAAGTGAAATGTTTTTGCCAAGGTAAAGCATTTCAGCATTACATGCAAACAGACTTCAAAAATCTGAAGAATAGGGACCCCATTTTTAACCCTCCTTTTACAGAGGAGACAGGAATAAGAAATACTACTACTATCTTGTAGGAAAGAAAGTGACTTTTAATGCAAATGGCAGACCCACAACAGTAACTATGTTCAGACAGTAATCTACTAATTACTTTAGGTTAGACAATTTCTAAAGGACACTGTTTTTAATACTTACTCATTTGCAGCTACTTTTTGCAGTTTTTCTCTTTTCTTTGCCGACCAGTTAAGATCACCACCTGCAACAAAAATAACACCTACTATGAAACTGCCAAAACTGATAACCTATCTCATTACTTAGGGAAAGAGAACAGTAGTTGTACAAAATCAGAAATTGATACCAAGGGAAAAAAAACAACAACTTCCTCACAATCATACAAGCAAGCAAAATCAGGAACCAAACTAGGATCTCAAACTTGACCCATGTTTTTGCTGAGTAACAAATAAGTTTCTCCACAACTCATCACAGTACCCTGTAAGAATAGAGGAAGTGAAAGCAAGTTGGAAAGAAACGAATGCTCTCCTCTAGATCTTTTAGGCAGAAACTAAGAACACTGCTATGTGAAGGAAAGCATATTGGCAGGTACATGCAATCAAGTATGTTACGCACAAGCAGTTTGGAAAAAGCTATTTTAATCCATAGAATATCCTACACGTTCAACTTAGCTGAAGAGGTAGGTACTATGCCCTCTGATTAGGTTTGACATTACAGCAAGGACCAGTGAATTACACACTAAAGTATAAGGAAAAATACACTATGAGGACAAGCCCTATCCAAGAGATACCACCAAATCCATGTACTGCAGCATCAGACACCCACCTGTATTCCACTACCCAAAAGCAGCTCAGCATAGCAACTCCAAGAATTATGATGAAATCACAAGAATCAAGAGCAGCTAGAAACCACCTGACTTACCTGTTAGGTGATTCACAAAATACAGCATGACTACAGCTACCAGTGACACTAAGAAAGAATAAAAGATTAAGCTGTTAGTACCTTTACCACAATGGCATAAAACCAGCTTAACATCCAACCAGCAACAATTAAGATTTCTTGTGACAGCTGTAATTATTATGAGCAGCATCTCCATCAGTTTTGAGACCTCCCCTACGCTCACAAGTAGCAATGTAACTCAAATGATTTATCTATATTAATAAGGACCCTCATACAAACATAACCTTGAAGAATTTAACTCACTAACACTTTTAATCACACTTCATTTTTACCAGTCATTTCAACTACTTACACTAAAATGCTTCAGGAAAAAAACAAACAAAACTAAAATACACAAAATGTGACACTACTTATCAGTTACTTTCAACAGTGTCTCAGTTGAAATGTCTACAGATGTCTACCCAGCTGCACAGTAAGAAAGCAGTTATAGCATTTTACAGGAAACACTAGGGGAGTCAAAGAGTTTCCTGAATGTACAGAACATTACTTTCAGTGTTTTTGCTACTTACAGGAAACACAAGCACTGAAGAAGACTTCAAGAAACAGGTATCCTCTTGTGTCCAGAATCATCCCAGCTGCTATAGAAATAACTGCCAGACCAAGATTCTGGATAGACTGCATACTAACATAAACAAAGAATTACCACCTGTGCAGAAACTTTTCAAAGAACAAACTATTTGATTTTTATTGCACAATAAGATGAACTTCTCCCCATATTCTAGATAGTAGTAATTAATCTGCACTTTTGCAGATATCACTGTGCATCTACTGCACACACACATCCTGAAACTACAGCAGACTTCCTCCTAGAAACAGTCACCGTTTACTTATTACAATTACTTCACATCAAGTGGTTCTACAGTATGAGGATGTAGGTCAGCATAACTGACAGATGGAAGTACTCACAAGCCATAAGCAGTTCCCAGCTGATGTTCTGGAACAACAAAGGCCACCATGGGCCACAGGGCACAGGCAAGCAAGGAGTATGCAACTCCTAGTAAGCACTGAGAAATAAATGAGTAGAGAGATGCTGGATGAGATGCATTTTTGCTATAAAAAGCCACAGACAGCTCACATTAGCTTAGCTTCTGTTATACTGTTTTCCTTTATCAGCATCTTTGGTTTTAAATCCATTTGCATGCTGTATATCCTTATGAAATGAGGAATATTACAATAAGTTTTAAGACTACCTAAGCAATCAGAAGACGGGGCTAAACTTATGCAAAATCATTCATCAGCAGCTCAATTTCTTATTTTGTCACATTTAGCTATCAAAGTCTACTTGAACAACTGGTTACCATTGCAATCCAGGGGTTCCAGAAAGTGAAAGCCAACATAATATGAGAAGCAAGCGTCGTTACTACAGCACATAAAACCCAGATGATATTCTTTCCAATTTTATCCACCAGGATTCCAAAGATAGGGGACATGGGTGCCGATATAATGTACACAACACTGCAGAAGAATGAAAATGAGAATTTCCTTTGCAACTTGTGAAACCATAATAAAAAAATACACTTAAAATAAAGATTCCAGAACTCAAATGTCTGAGGGCATGAAAGCATTTCTCATCCATGACGCAGCATACTTAGAGCTCTTGGAATCATGCCATCAAGTGTTCTGTTTTGCCATATCACCAATTTGTCTTCAAACTTGTACAATTTTGTTTACTCAGTGTTGCTATTTTGTTTCCACCACCTCTAAAGGGAATTGCCAGATACCACAGTAACATCCTTCAGACAGAACTTCCTCTTTCAGATTAACATCTTCTCCTCAACTGGAACATGTAAGAAAGTAAAACCTCCATTGTGCCATATGAACACGATCCACTGAAGTGCAAGCTGCTTACATCAGCAGATCCCAAACAGTCAGAGCCCACAGATATATATTTAACCCCTAAATCACAACAGTAGTACATTTACTCATTTAACCAACTGAAACATACCTGTTAATTGCACTTGCTTCTTGAGATGAGAATTGGAATTTTTCAATGAAGAAGACCCTGAAGATACAAAAAACAAAAAAGCACAAGTTGAGAAGTAGACAAACATAAATGAAGTAAAAGGATAAATTAAGCTAGACAAAGTAAAAACAATAAACTAGTTTACATACAACTTGTAAATACAGCATTAACTAGCAAACATCCCAAAGCAGATCCTCCTTTAGCAGGCTGTAATGAGTTGACAGATTTTTGCCAAAGAACCATTCAAACTGCATTTTGAAGGAAACACACAAAATATATAACAACACATAAAGCAGCAATGAGATATTAGTAATGAGGTTTGGATTACATGCAAAAAGTGGAAAAAAACAGGTATTTACATTACTTGGAGAGATTTTAACAGTCTCAAACTCTCATCTCACAACATAAAGCGCACGTGGAGCTCACAAGGTCTTTCCCAATTCCAAGTACATAAAAAAATCTCTTTATTGCTTAATTAGAACAAGTCGCATGGTTTTAGAAGAAAATTACATAGAAATGCTTCAAGTTTCACCTTGAAACATAAAACCCAGTAAAAAAGAGCTTCAGTCCAACACTGTAACCATGTTTGAGCCCCACCTCACATCCAATGAGTACTGAAGGAATTCTGTATGATGGCTGTTCACAGCCTTGTGCACAATGTTTTAGATCTAAATCACGTTTTAATCTGAGAATGGAACATGTCTTATGCCTTTGAGTTCTGACAGCTCAGCCTACACTAACAAATGGGATTTAACAGAGATCTCAGCAGAAAAGAAAGCTGTAAGATTGTGATTATTTCTGTCACAAGTACAGCAAAAAGTGCCACACACACACAAAAAAAAGAAAATAGCACAGACTTGCTAAGAGACCAGTGTGGTTCTACAGCCATCTGGAGTTTCTAAATATTAACCAACACCTCTTCCTTGGTAAATGACGTTACAGCTAGTTAAATCTTGGCCAAATTCAAAGGCAAAAGCTATGAAAGTAAGAAGACACTTACTTTCCAAGTCCAATGAAAGGAAAGACCGCTGCATAATAGCAGACACATATTACAAATATAAGCCACAACGACAAAGAGAAGTTCTTCACATCGGTCAGCTTGATCACTTCACCTGGAGAGGAAGCAAGAGAACACTGTTTCAGCCACCACAAACATACCTGAAATTCATCCACACTGAATAAATATTAGGATGACCAAGAGTCACTACTGAAGTATTATAATCCTGCCACTATCTACTCTCTTGTATGAAGTTTGCACAGTGAGCATCAGCCCAGGGTATACAAGTCCTACATCAACAGTGTTTAAGTCAAGAAGAAACTCATCTCCCACTCCCATTAAGATGAACGTATCAGTTCTCTAAAGCTTCTAAAACTCTTGTGGAGAACTGAATTAAATACAAACCATTTTCTTTCAAGGAAATGTTTAATCTGCCTGTGAAAGCTGTGCCTGAAACTTCATGTTATGTTTTAATCTCAATTAGGCTCTCAATTTTTGTTTTTTAATTGTCTAAGATCTCCCACTCAAAAAACTCAAAACACCACAAGGAGACAGCTGCATGTTTTTGCACACTTGTTGAAGGAAATAAAGCCAATCCCAAAAAAACAGAGTTCCAGTGGCAAAGCACAGACCAAACGGACGTGAACTGGAAGGCTCTCCACAAGCTCAGTAAAAAAAGGCACTGACAAACTGGAACGATCTGCTCTACAATGAAAGAATAAATTCCACGGCATGTTTGCACCACACCACTCACCTGTTTTTCCCTGCTCTTTACAAAGGAGCTTCTCTGCTCTCTTGTCCAGATAAGCAAGGATTAGGGCACAGGCCAGTGAGAAGAGACATGTTATGCCACCTGCAAGAAGGTAACGTGACATGTTTAGATGCAGACAGTACATCTGTCTACATGTAAGCAGTAATCTGGCTTTTAGATGAATTTTTAGTGTAGCATACCTTTACACATCTAATGCAAATTCAGTCACTTGAACATCAGTTTAAATAGAAGACTCAAACTGTACAACAGGGAGAAATAAGCACTGAAGTCTACCAGATGAGACACCTACCCTGAACTGCAGTACTAACACAATTCTATTTAGTCTGCAAATATTACCACGGCTCCCACTCAACACAGCTGAGCTGCTAGCTGTACCTTGCAAGAAGAGAAACAAAGCCAAGGCCCTGTTACCAACACCAAGGTGTTAAGCCCCATGCTCTGAAGGAAAGGAACACTGTTCCAAAGGCAGCTGCAATTCCCTATGTGCAGGCTGCTACACACAAATCTGACATGTGCCCTTCTGAAAAATTTTTCAAGTCTGTCCTTTACTTGAAGTACATTAAATATTTCATAGCTGTAAGACACACACTTCAATTTGGCAACCACAGAGATCATGCAGCATTTTGCAGTAGACATACGCTTTCCATAAGCACACTATTAGCCACTGATAGAAAAAGCACTCAAATTGCTCTTTCCAGTCCCAACTCCATCTTTCCTACTTTCCAGATAGCAAGAATTAATTAACATATGAACAGTGCTTCAATTCAGAAACCTAAAATACCAGGTGACAACAGTTCAAAAATATTACAAACCTATCAGGAGAGCTAATCCAAGAGTAGTGTGACCAGTATGCTTCAGAAGATCTTGAACTCGTGAGTATATCCATCCCATGATATTCATGTTCACTGTGCTTCCCTAGGCAAAAGAAACCGATGTAAAGAAAAATATTTTTCACAATTATCTGAATCCACAGCACAACACACCAGTTAGGAGAGCCTTAACAGGAAAGGCATGTCTCCACTCACTCTATTCACAGTGACTCTACGAACCAAACAGCACAGCTGAGGTGCAATGCAGCAGGCAGTTCTGTCACTGTCCCACTCACTAACTGATGCTAAACCACACCAGCCTTCTGAAGACATTTGGCAAGTTGTAAGAAACCTTACTAATTCATTTCCCTTTGTATCCACCCTTTATCTACTAACCACAAATCTCCAAACATTTTAAATTCATGTTCCATATCCATTTTTACCTAATATTTCCAAGGAAGCATTAGAAATGCTGGTTTTTTGCTGGTCTGACTGCCAAGACAAGCTATACACTTTAAAGCCTATGAATTAAAGCTATACAGTTTTAAACTTACAATTCTGGCCATGCTCAGTTGTAATCCAAACACAAGATTTAACTCCTTGCCTTTAAACCAGCTGACTGCATACGTGTTTTGTGCCACTGCTAAGGATTCGCCACCTATTCTAAAAAAGAAAAAAAAAAGAAGGTAGAAAACAATACATTAACTGCAACAGGAAAATAACAAGAAAACACCCCACCACTTGCTGGTAATGTTAAGATGAGAGTATTTCAGATTAATTCCTCTAGAAACAGGTAAATCTAATGCAAATATACTAAGAGACAGAAGTCCTATAGACACGATACAGGTAAGAATTGCAGTGTCTTAAACCTTAAGAGTACAAGGTGTCTTATTATAATTGCCTTATCAGAAGTTAAGCAGGTGGGCAGCAGCTTCTCACTTCTCTTTTGCATAGGTAAAAACATTGAAGAGTCAAGTGGTACACCTGCTGAGCAGTTACACAATTTCTGATTCAATAACACTGAGGAGCTCTGTTTATTTTCTAATTTTACATGAAAACATGAACCTGACTAAAGCTTTATGCACACCTCAACTTTAGAGGTGCTCCAAAATTCAAAGTTTAGTCTGAGAGCGCAAGAGCAGCAGCAGTTTTTGAGGGCACAGAAAGCTGCTCAGGACCCTAGAGTATACACAGGACAGATTTCTAGACTTACCCAAATATAAATCTGCCCACTTCCATCAGCCAGAAAGCATTAAGTAGTGCTCCCAAGGCAAAAATCACCTGTCAGAAAAGCATTTAAGAAAAATGATCATTTTTTAGCTAGAGCAGGAAACAAACAATCTCAAAGCAGAAACAAAAATTGTTTTCCCCTTATGGCCCTGAAAAAATACTTCATATCCTCTAGAGGCTTTTCTCCTACTGTACCCAAACATACCCACAGATAATTTCACATCAAATAGATAAAATATCTGTTTCCTTTCCATTCTTATTTCACTCATCATTCGTAGCCCTCAGTTCCCAGGTATCCTTCTATTTCAATTCTCTTCACCTGCATACTCCTACCTAAAACACACACTATGATCACAGAAGCCTTTTGAGCTTTCTTCCCCACCTCACTCCCAGCAGAGCAGCTACAGATAACATCCTTCACCCTCTCATTTCCACATACCTGCCCAACGCAAACAAAGATGCTGAATATTACAGTGCCCAACCTGAAAGAAATAGAAAACAGCCTAATCAGAGATTTTTTTCCCCTGTACAATACTGAACCTGCAGCAAAGCAAAAGTGTAAAATGATACCCAATATAAGTTCTCAGTAATAAATGCCACAACTTGACAGCTATATTAAAAAGATGGCACAGATGAGCATTTCTGAAGCTACTTTACTGAAAAAATCTGGTTGTGCCAGTGGAAAGTGCAGAAATAACTATGCTACTGAGTGTGGAATTACACATTAATTTTACCTACCAGTGAATAATGGAAAACAGTAAGATCTCACTTACCGTATTCCAAAGACTCTGTCTATTAGAAAACCTCCAAAGAAGCAAAGAACCACATTGGGCCAGGAATACCAGGCATAGAGTGCCATGAACCGTGCTGTGTTCACCTTCATATCCTACAGAAAAGAAATTTGAAGGAAAAAAAAAAAAAAACCTCCTGAATTAATTTCAAGGACACAGAAAAAGCATCCAAGTGCTTAGAAATAAGCATGCTTTCTAACCAGAAATCACAGGGCACAATTTGATGACTGTATCTGTTGGAAGCTGATGTTTTAGAGCAAACTGCTTTAACAAAACAGGTGGAGTTTTCTCGGGGACACGCAGAAGGAACCCACTCCATTCCCCATTGGAATGCCCTGCAAGGGTCGGTTCTGCTCTTTTAACCCTTCACACCCACATTCCAGAATTACCTCACCAATGGAACCGTCGCAGAACCCCAGCCTTAAACAAGGCAGCCCCCGCTCCGGGCAGCACCGCCCTCTGAGCACAGAACCCCCTCCCCACCACGCGACCCAGCCCAAGCGCGGCCCCCCGGGCAGCGACTCACCCCCTGAACCTGCGTCTGGAGCGCGGCCGGGTTGTCGTAGCAGAAGCAGCTGCCTGCAAGGAGAAGGGCAGGGAGGCCTCAGGGCACCGCGCGCCCCGCGGCCTCTCCTCACGGAGGCCCCCGCCCGCCGCCACGCACCGAAGCCGAGGAAACACATGAGCGCGAGGACGAGCAGGCGGTGCGGGAGGCGGCTCGGGTCGCACACGGCGGGCAGGGCGCGCGGGGAGCCCGCGGAGCCGCCATCGCCGCCGTCGGGGCCCAGCAGGGCCCGCTCCTCCTCCGCCATGGCTCCGCCGTCACCTGGGCGACGCCACGTGACCGGCGCGCCACGTGACCGGCGCGGCCCACAATGCGCCGCGGCTGCCATGGCAACGGGCGGGCCTGGCGCGGCCTGCTGGGCCTTCCGGCGGCGCGAAGGGAGAGCCTTTTTTAGGCCACATTGGGCCCGAAACGTGGCCTTGAGACAGGAACTTTAAACGCCTGGGCAGCAAGCGGTGTAGCTTGTGAGGCCTTGCGCCTCTCCTGCCTGCTGGACAGGGAAAGATTTGTCCTAAAATTGCGCCCTTTTGTGCCTTCTAAGAGGCCCTGCTTACTCTGCCGCCTTTTCCAGCGTGTTTTCCTGCAGTCTCCGTTACCCCTGAGGATACCACAAATCTGCCCTGCACAAAGCGTGCCAGGATATCAGCTGTGTAAAAACAGCCCTGGCATTCCGCAATGATAAAACAAGCACACGCCTGGATGGGCGTTATTTCAGTTGCTCACACACAGCCTGCTTCTCTACACAGAGGTGTTTTAATGGCAGGCCCAGCAGAAGCACATCAGTGCTCCTCTGTCACGTATTACCCGACCTGCTGTTAACCCAGAGATCCCCTTTCCAGTATTCTGCCATTAATTTCATTGGTGGCCATACAAGCAAACCAAAATAAGTCTTAAAAACACACTGGCGTTGCAAACAGACTACTGCTGAGAATAAATTGCCTACATTCCTCTCAGTATGTGTCTCTTAACGTGTGCCAAAACACAGCTGTGTAACCAAACGCCTGCCTTTATGGAAAAGAGAAATTACTGGGTCACATTCTCAGCCACAGAAACTGGTCTAGATTCCCTGAAATCAATGCAGCTCTTTCAGTTCATTCCAGTGCTCCACATCACCGGCTTAAACTGCACGTCATTGCAAAAGCGTTGTCCCACGACCTCAATTTTGCGGCCGCTGGAGGGAGTTGGAGGGCAGCGCGTGGGCTTCAGGGGCACAGTGAGCTTTGGATAGTTCATGGAGACGGATAAATGAAAGAACTTTGAACAGCAAGAATGTTCCTAGTGAAAATGTGAGCACGGAATGAAGATGTATTCTTGTTCCCAGCTAACAAGCACAGTTATTTCAGGAGGCCAGCATCACATCACCCAGAGCTTTTTTAGTTCTCTCTGATCCATGGAGAAGGTTTTTTGGTTGTGTACACACCCTAGTTTTCCTCCAGGACACAAGAGTGGCTGTTGTGAAAGCCTGAAGTTCCGAAACTGCTCTCCCACCGCAACTCTCTGACAGAAAATGAGAAAAACCTCAGGAGAGCACCGGGCCCATCACCAGAGGGAACAATTGGAGCTCCAGCTGCACCGATCAGCAAGCACAGAGCCAAAATCAACAGAACCAGCTTCCCTGGAGGCCATAGCTGCTTCCCTAAGACCTCCTGCCCCATTTTGAGCACCATATGAACCGCAGGAATGTCTGAGACATTGCAGTGTTCGTCAAGGAAACTCTCACAAATAACAAATGAGCTGCACAGTCTATTCCATAAAACGATGGACACCAATTCAAAGCTGGTATACTCCACAAAATTAAATGTAAAACATCTGTAAAGTGACAGAACATTATCATCAAAAAGATATTGTTATTTTCCCTGTTACTGTTTTTAAATGTTGCTTCAGAAGGCACAAGTGAATAGAGAGAATTAGTCGTTAAAGCTGAAAGAGAGGTAACTTTCACACACACAAAGGTGTCATTGTAATGCTTTGACGCTGTCTTGAGTCAAAATATTTTAATTATATTGTTTAAACTATAAAACTGTTATATCAACATCAAATCAACTCAATGTATATCTCATGGGCTGTGACATGATACCAGCACTCTGACTGCAGGATCCATCAAAAAATGTCTCCTGTAACTATTGATCAATTTTATCACCAAGGATATCTACAAGATCTAGAAAAACAGGTGTTATCTCCTAAGTTTCAAAAAGGATCTCCAGCCCATAACCAAAATAACAGGCAAAAACTCATACCAAGTAAACATATTAAAATGCAATTGGTGATTTAGGATGACATTATTACTGCCAAGCTATGTACAACAATGTGAAGAGTGGAAGTGAAGAGCTTTCAGAGGCTGAGGTTATCCTGAACACAGCCTTTGTTTGTTTGACCTCAATTAATCAAACATTCAGCATACAAAATTCCTGTAATCTTCAGATATGACTGTGGGTCAGAATTTCTTCCCTGATACGTCGTTGCAGTGTTTTTCTGCTAAAGAGCAAAAAAAAAAAAAAAAAAAAAAAAAAAAAAAAAAAAAAAAAAAAAAAAAATACACTGTGCAAGAGTGTTTTTAAGAGCTTCTGACAACTGTGGCAGATTGTTTCTGCCAAGTACTATGACAAAGTATTCCAGGAAAAGAGAGCACTCAGGGAAGAACATCATCCTCACTTTCTGCTAACTGAGCAGTATGGCCTTAATACTGCTTTCCCATATTCTTGCCCCATTTAAGTTTATGCAAACCTTTATAGTGTCATAGTCTTAAATTTTCCTTACCATAAGAAATGCAACATGTCACTGTTGAACCAATATGTAACAGAAATGTTACAAGACAGAGTATCCTTCTTTTTCCTGTTAAAACAGTGAGACAGAAGGTTAGTTCAGAACACATCACACCCTAAAGACTGATTTTTTTTTTTTTTCAGTAATCTAATTTTGTTATTTATACAAAGGCATCCTGGATTTACTTGCTTTTTTTTTTTTTTCTTTTCTTTTTTTCTTCCAAGTTTAAATAATTACCCAAATTAGCTGTGTTATCCTAAAAACTTGAAGTTCATGATTTCTTGCTGTATCATGCTTTTTCTTGTCCTCTGTTCCACCTGCTTTTGAATACAGGGGCTCTACCTGAATACAATTATTCTATGATTTCATAAGTGTTAAAGTCCCACTCTGCCAATGAAGTCCTTTATGATACCAATATACCTCTCTCGTGTTCTATCACTATCACAAAAAATACGCAAAGATGGAATGATTAAAATAAGCTGCTTTAAAAGCTACCTAAATCATTTAAAAATTATTACTTACTTCATTATTCTTAAGCAGTTCCACTACGTATAATTGATTCAATACCAAAATAGTAAGTGTAATGGTAGGAGAATTCTTCCTGCGGTGCACAGCCATGGCAGGCTCTAGTCCAACAATGGATATCTGTGCTTTCATTCATCCTTGAGGGAAACTGTACAAACCTGAAACACATGCAATTTTATGGTATTTATTTTCAAATATGTCAGATAGTTTTTCATGCTATTTTCATTCCTGAGTGCTTATTTTCATATTAAACAAGATGCATTTGTACTTTATCTTGTTTGGTAAAACATGGGATTCTTTACAGTAAAGTAAGAAAATCCTGTATCTGGAATACTTAACAGGAGAAAATGAGTATTTTTCTGTTTGCTGCTACATAATATTACCATGCCACCCCTTCATTCCCATTCAGACATCACCTTGGATGTGACCTTGCTGTGGCTGAAGTGCAATGTGGCTGTAATGTGCAGCGTGACTTAAGCCTAAGACGATTTTTAAATGCATTGCTGGTGAGAGTTTATGCCACAAATAAATACAGTAGATTACTCTTAAACTCATACTTTAGAATGTTTATTACAGATGCAATTTCTGTCTTAACATAAATCAAAGTACTTAAAGTGCCATATGATACCAAATGTTTAGTTTAACAGCATAAAATTGAGCAAAAACTGTATACAGTACTTTATGGATGCTATAAAATTTTTGTACTTGTGGCCTCACCTCTTTGCATTGCTCAGATCAATCAAGTTCGCCGAACACTCTGGATAGTAAATACTCACGTGAACCAACGATTAGCTTTCAGAGTTTGGTTTTTCTAAGCTATTACTGTCTTCAGTAAAAATACTTCAAAATCTGACCAAATTACAAAGCAGGAACTGTATTTAACACGATTGAATTTACTTCACCATCATTAGACTATTAGGCATTCTCTGAAAAAAGTTCTTCTGCTTTGCCTCCAAGTTGTGTTAGCAACCTGTTATAAAAGATCTGTCATACACAGGCATATAAACATTTTAAAATCACTTTGTGCATTAAGGAATGTGTATACTATAAACTATAAAGCTTCCTGTGTCCTGTGCTCTTCCTGCCTCACTCAAAAGTTGTTGGACCAATGTATGATCTCCTTAAGTCAAGTCTAATTTCTGTAAACTCTTTTACATCAGAGAAAGCTGAAAAAAAAGGCTGAGGAAGCACTTCTGAACCACAAGTCTATGTGAGACCAAAGATTTTGGCCTAAGAAACTTCCCAGAGTTCAACAAAATGACTCTGCCAAAGCAAACACCTCCTCCCTGTCAGCTGAGTCAGACCACAGAACTGCATGTTGCGCCTTTAATGCTCTTCTTTCTGAGTAAAAACATCAAGAAAGACTGCTCTTCAGATTTCCCCAAATTATTTTAAGGCTCTAGATATCTCCTAAGGGAAGTGGATATCGAGCCGTATCTCCAACAGCAAGATCTACTCAGGTAATATGTAAGAAAAATGCCTGCAGTGAGAATGTAAGACCACGTAATTCATGATGTGCTGCTTCCTTCAGCACTTTCCATCAGCTTATTTTAGCATTACTGTCTGGATACTTTGACCTGGGAAGAAGTCAAGATACAAAACAAAACAAAGAAGCTGTTGTATTAGAGACTGGTCGACAACTTAGAGTCTGCAGACCAGCAGAATAATTGTGCACCAAGGCTGTCACCAAGACCCAACCATTCACTCTTTGGAAACACAAACATTCAGGGACACAGACAGGGATGGGAGACAGAAACTGCTTCCTGCTGAATCCATTGCAGGCCTTGCAGCCCACCCCTCATAGCCCTATAAAAGTGTAATGCACGCAGTTCACCCACAGTTCACACACAGTTCAGAAAATCTGAAACTGATGTCTGTTATTACCACCACCCATCAATTTGGCTAGCAGGCTGTGACACACAAAGCCATCAGCAAGAACCTCTTCTTTCTAACTGCAGCAACAATCCTCGTGGTTACCACACTGAGGTCTTTACTTTTCTCCCTTGTTAACTTATATTCCAAATGCAAACCTCCTTTCAAACTCCTTTCCCTCCCCCCACCAAGGCAGGAGGGGGATTTTATGCACACCCAGCAGTTCCTCTTCAGGCACTTCCTCTGCCCTCAAGTAATTGAACTTTACTGCAGAGTTTCCAAGGCAAGAGTAAGGTGTTTGGGTTTTTTTCCTTTTCTCTTTAGACTGCAGCCCAGAGCTGAGCAGAACTTCCCAAGCAAACAGCTTTGCTCCATGGCACTGTTGTTTCCTGAGCTTTGGGATTCACTCCTTTGCTGGATGTCTGATCCTGGGACTTGTTTGTAATTCCTCTTCCACTGTGCAGACTCCTACTTGGGATCTGTTCATCTACATACAGCACTCTGCAGAGAAAGGGCTCTTTCCTGATAACACCCTGATAAGTATTGCCCCACTTCACACACACTCCTATTCTGCAATTGTTATTCCAGGAGACACGCTGCTATCAATTTTTTAGTTTCCTGACTGGTGGTCACTTCCCTTTTGTTCCAGAGCTCCAGTGTTTCCATGACTTCTTATTCCAACTGCAACACTTCTGGCAGGTGGCACTGTGTAATTTGGTATTTTATCCACTCCAGGCGTTCCCAAAATTAGTGTGTGTGCACAGACTGTTTAGAGAGCCCAGCAAAGACAAGTGTGATGTAGGTACACTCAGTAGTTTAGTAAACCTGCATTTGACAGCACATGTTAAGTATTCGTACTGGAGTGAGGCCTTTCCAAAATAAAACCAGTAACATTCCAATAATTCTGAGTCCTTTCCATATACTCAGTTTTACCTCTGACAGCACAAAGTTTTGCTCTGTCTCATGATCCCAGGAAAGAGGCATTGTGAGAAACACTGCAAGAAGCAAGTAGGACATTTAGCAAAAAAAGAGGGAAAAAAAGCAAAAAAAGCATACCTAATTGGCAGAGATGCAAACCAGCAATTTATCTGTCTGAATATCTGGAGAGGGAAGGAAAAAAATTCAGAAGCCAATAGTCAAAAATAAAATGATGACCAGACATTCTGCCTAAGCATTTGTTTAAGTGAGTGGCTGGAGAGGGGGCTGTAAAACACAGTTTTCTGCTTTACTTCCTTCAAAAAGTGAATGAAAAATTATTCTGTGCAGCAAGAAAATAACTTGTATTATAGTGCAGAAAATATATCGTTTCCTTTAAAAGCATCTTGCTCAACATTTGATTTCACATTTTCAATCCATAGAAATTACAATTCTTTGCATTTTTATATCTCTGAGTTCACCAGTTTGCGGTTTCAAAGTACAAACAACTTCATAAATATTACTCACAGCATTAAAAAAAAAAAAAACAGGCAGATTCATATTCTTTCACATACGTACAGATTGCATGGGTGACTAACTGAAATATCACAATCACATTTCCTGGCACTATGGAAACAACAGCACTGCTGTGCACAGAGGTAACCAATACTGAGTAAATGTATGTTAAAGTTAACATCATCCCAAAGCGTCAATGGCCAAAGGCCAAAGTTTCATTGAAGAGTCATTCTAGCTTTGTTAGCTTTGAAAATTTGATCTAAAGACCTTTTGGTTTTCATGACACCTATAGCACTTCCTGTCCTTCAAACTGTGTCGTGATGCCAGTGCACGCCCCAAGCCAGGTGTCCTTCCCTGGCTCACACAAGTAAGGGAAGTCATGCTGCACGTGTTACCTGTTTGCTAACTGAGTGTGACCTACCTGCAGCAAAGCACATTTCTTCCGTCTACTAAATGGGCTCTACATGGTTCCTTTGGAAGGAGGAACTGAGAAAATCTTTGAAAATGGCCTTGTTTGAGCACAACTACACAGGTGAAACAAAAGTTCTGAATGATTCTCACTGGAAATTATGCTTTGTTTGTATAACCTCACTTTTTTTATTCATATATGAACATCTCTTTAGGCAAAGCCTGAATTATGGCATCCTCTTAGCACCTTGCAGCAGGGCAACACAGCAACATGAGAAGGCTGCAGCCTCACCTCACCCCACTGCATCATGAAATTCCCAGCAATGTTAATATTTACCATAACTGAGCATACATACCATGTTTTCACTTGAATGAGTAAGACAAATCACACTGTACTGTGCTGGTTTTGGACCTTTTCTGTGGACTTCATCCACACAGATATCCTCCAAAGCTATAACAAATCATTTGCTTTATCTTTATCTTTGTTTAACAGAACTAAAGTCTCTGAAGAGAAAGAACTCAGGGAAGAGCTCATGGCCACCCAGGAGCCTGCACCTCTTTGTCTCTAGAACCATCCCAGTGGTCCCCATCAGCCCAGACTGGTGATGCCTCCAAGATGCTGGAGTTCTTCCCTCTCAGGTGCTCCATATATGAATGACTGCATGCTCCAGCTTCACCTTCCTTTCCTTCTCTGCTTGTGTATTCCACACCCTGCACAGAGGCTGGGTGAAATCAAACTCACTTAAGAGGTTCCCTTGCACACCCACTGCTTCTTTCAGTGTTTTTTTTCCCCACCTGTTCCTCTGTCTCTACTTCTTATATTCCTCCCATCTTCGGCACAAGAGCCCCACAGTTTGTTAACTTTATCTTGTCAATTCATCCAATTGAAGCTTCAGGAATGCTTAAATAGCTTTGGAGGTTATTAAATAGATTTACAGAATTCTAAATACTCTTTCAGACACATAGGAAATAAAGCCTGCATGTTCTTCCCATAAGGGAAACTTCTTGGAGTAATTCTATTGCAGCAAAACATGGGAAGGTTTTTTTAATGCTGAGTCCCACCACAAAAGGCTGGCAATGATAATGGGACATCCTGCAGCACTTAGTAAGAGCTTGTCTCAGAAATAGCAGTTTTGAACCAAATCCTGCTAACACACAACACCAAGAGAAACAAACTTTTACTATGATTGCAGTCAAAAACCAAGGTTCTGCATCTGCACCATTAAACAAAGTCATGGTGTAGAAGAAACTGAAAGGAAAAAATATAAAGTTTTCTTCTTCTCTCTTATCTGGAAAGCTATAGCAATTTAATTTTTTTTTCTGGAAACTTGAGCAGTCAGTTCATGTGACATATCTACAATGCAATCCACAACCACAAAGCATTCAAATAAAATACAACAATGCAGTGAACAGCCGTGACACTTCTTTCAAATATCTACCATCTAACAACAAATGCCAACTATACTGCTTTGTAAAATAATAGGGAACATAAAATGGAAAGAGAAAACTGAACTCAGGAAAAGGAACAGATAAAAATCCTGCTTCTGAGAATGAAGCCAAGTAATAACATCCCATGCTGGCCCATGTACAGGATCGGGAGAGGTTGCTTCCCTTGGCAAACTGAGAAATCACACTTCTTCCAGCTTCTAGTTACACTCTAAACAATGAGTGCTTTAGGGCAGACTTTGTTTTTGAGAGCTCAAATCAACTATCCTGACACTCAATTTACATACAACCCGCTGGTGAACAAGAACTGACCCTTAATTTATTTGGGGAACGCGTCCCTGGGAGTCATTCCACACACTGTTAATAACTGTAATTTTGGATGACTTTGCTCCACTTTGCATGAGAGTGTTTACATCACCAAAAGAGAGAAGAAACAAACAATTAGTGGTTTTATAAATCTTAACATGATTTTTCTAGGAAATAAGACAGCAAATAGATTCATCAGAGGTGAGAGGGGCCAAACAAACACTCTCACATCCAACCCTTGCTCTGGTATGTGATGTGGAGGAGGGCTGGAATCAGCAAACCCAAAGCATTCATGTTTTCTTCTTCCCCTCTTGCAGCCAAGCTGCAGACAGACACAAGGCTTATCTCACCCTGGAGCCAGGATCATATTTTTTCTCTTTAAAGAAGGAAGAAACATTTGCAATGACATTTTTTTCTGTGCCATTAAATTTCATAAAAGGTGGCACTGCCCCTGGCCACCCCTCAGCTGAAGGTAGTGTGTGCTGACCAAGAGCTCAGTTATCACCAGTAACTCAGTCACAAAAGGTGCCTCAGTGTGACTCAGGGTAGAGGTATTTTCCCCCTAGAATCTACACTTGTAAGTTCTCCCCTTAAAGGCAGCCTGTTACTATGCCTTGCTCCACTCCTCTCAGAGAGCAACAATCAGATTGTTTGCAGTGTATTAGCATACTCGAATAGATCTGTCATGGTTATTAAAAATATTACAGAGGCCAAATATTTTGACTGAAAAAGTAAAAAGACATTGCCAGCATCCCGAGATCCCTATCTGCTGTAAGCTTTGTGATGAACTGGCCCCAAATAAAATTACATTGGTGGTCATTACAACTAGCAGCCTGGCAATTTGGTAATTCCACGGCAAGGAAGGGTGAGGAGGAGGCTCACCAGCCCAGAGCCATGGCTTTGAACATCCCTGGGTAAGTGAAGGGATAGAAGGCAGATCCACAGGCAGCAGTGATGCTTTAAGCAAGACAAGCATGGAAAAGCTCTTGGGTATAACATGGACATTGAGGACTGAGCATTAGTTGTGTGGTTTTGCAAATCACTTTGTCCCACAGAAAAAGAAAGCAAAGCCAGGAATCTAAAACTCCTGATAATAATCAGGAGTTTGCAGAAGAGGTTTTGAGCATATGGTAGAGCAGAAAACACAAACTCCAGGTTTCTGCTTCCACACTTTGCAGGCTTTGCTTTTTTTGTGAGTATAACAGCAGAATAAAACCTCTCAATACAAGCTTGTTCTCAAGTGACTCTTTGTGTAGATCTGCCAAAAACGACCGTCCTGCCTCTATCCCCAACTGTCTCAGCATCATTTCTGGTTCTGCTCAATGTCCTCCCAGACCTGGTTCCCTTTTTACTGCACTTTCTCTTCCCAACAAGCAGACCACAGAATCATAGAATTGCCAGGGTTGGAAGGGACCTCAAGGATCATGAATCTCCAAGACCAAAGTTTCTTACAAGTTTACTGTGCCAAAACCTGAAAGAGCAGTTCTCTGCTCAGCACATTTCCGGCCTTTATTCCCTGAGAATCTTTCCCACAGATGGCTGCACACCCAGTGCCCTCCTCACAGAAGTCACAGCACTGTGGAGCTGAAGCCTTAGAAATTTCAGGCAGATAACATTGCCAAGGTTACACCCAGGAGATAACAACTCAGTCACCAGCAGCAGAGCGCAGCCCAGCAACCTGTCCCAAACACCAGTTGCCTTCAGGAAATGTGATTGAAACAAGCTTTCACAGCTCCCATGGGACTGGGAAGAACTGGTGGATGAATGAATCACTGCTCACAATCCCAGTCTTCAAGGCAGTCAACACTGAAATCAACAGGGCCATAAATCATAGAATCATTAAGGTTGGAAAAGATCTTGGGGACTAGCAAGTCCAAAGCATCACCATTTGGCTCTTTGTGCTGAAGCCTGCAGCATATTTCAGCCTCCATCACACTGCCTGGACCTTGGTGCATGCAGCAATGTGGTGGGAGGGCAGAGACTGGATCCAGCAGCAAATGGGCCTGCTGACACAGTGCCTTAAATTACCAGCTTATTTTCTGGGACACAAAGGGTTCATTTAGTGGTTTCTTGGAGTTTTATTCAGTTGTTTCCTTTAGTTTCATTTGTTTGTTTTTCCTTCACACCCAACTCAGGTCCAGCATAGGAAAGAGGAAGGGTCCTGCTGACTTCAGGGCTGCAGCCATGCCCTCCTATACACCAAGTTATGAACGTGTATTTGATGCATTTAATACACAGTTACTGCAGGCCCTGACCCTGCAGATGGCAGCTGAGTTGGTATCCCTAACAAGCACATGGATGAAATATAAATCACTCAGCTGTAAGATCAGATACTAAATCACAAGCCTCAAGTTTTATAATGTTTACCCTGACAAAGCTATGGCTTTTCCTGTGATAAACAAACTGCTTTGTTCTCAGGAGGTCAATCGGTCAGCGATAGGCTACCTGACCTCCCTGGGTCAGCTCATCCCAATGTTTGTGATTTTTGGTTCTTGTGATCTTCTCTACCATCTCCTATTTTATTAACAGAAGAGCAAATTTCTGTTCTCTCCTCTGGCTCATTTCAAATTTTCTTTAATTTCAATGATTTAACTTACATGGAATGATATTCTAATTGGGTCCTCTTTGGATCTGTTTTTATAAGGGAAATATTACTGTTGAAGACTCCTCCAATTTAGGGAGTTTAATTACTGCAGTTAATTGCCTCATTCCTAAAAAGCAAGTTTTCAAGCCAAGGTCAAATTTCCTCTGCTCCTTCTAAAATGCTGCCTTCACTACAAATATGTAAAATTGCATACTAGGATCCAGAAGGGTAGAAAAAAACAATCATTAAAAAGAATTGCCTAAACCATAGCAGCTGCAAAATCTCAACATAAGCTAACCTATTCCAATAGGTTTTGGTTCTTTTACAACTACAATGTTGTGTACAGAAAAATACTTGTCTTCACCAGAATTTAGTTGTGTCTAGTTTGCAGGACTATTTCCTCCTACCTTTGTATGCACTGCATTTCTCTGTCTTTTTATTCCTAACTCCTCAGTTACAATCAGCCACATGCAGATCTGAGCATTCACTGTTCTGCTACAATCAGGTGTGCTGAGCAGCGCTGGTGTCTCAAAGAGGCACTTTCACAACTGAGACTTTTTTAAACAAGGTCACACTTCCTGGATTCCACGTTACAAAATCACAGAATGACACGGGGGTCCATCTAGAAGGCTGCATGAAAGCCCTGCAAGAGTTACACGAGGCGAAATCTGCAGCCTTCTGCACTGACAAATGTTCAGAACATAAAGCAGGGATTACACTTATGCCCATAGGGAAATGCAGTTAAAAAGTACCATCCTCCCTGCTTTTGCTGTCTCCAGTGATGTATTACAAGGCAAAACTAAATTGCTCTCACAAGTGCTTTATAAAACCCTTTACATTTTCCTCTGTCCATTAACGCGTTTTGCCTTGCCTGCATTTTATCTGTACATATTTGCAATTGCAACATGCACAGGGCTGAGTGCTGACTGCCCAAAGCACCCAGCTGCTATGGGACTGCTCCATTTTTCTTCATCTCCGTCTGCAGTTTGTGCATTATGGCAAAGTTATAACAGTTAAAAACACATTTAACATTCCAAAGACAGCCTGCAGAATCACGCATAGCAGGATGTATCAAAACAAGAGCAACGAAGGAACTGGCATTCAGCAGTTCCATTTAAATCAAGGCTGTGCCATGTCAAATCACTTTGGGAAATACTTTAACAGTCAGGATAAAAGCCAAGTTATTAAAATTAAAGTTGATTTATTATTGTATAGAAGCCAAAAGCACACAAACTTCTTGAAACCTAATCTTCCATTTTCCAAAAACATGAAGAGGAAAAATCCAGGAAGCGTACATACTATCAGCAATGTTTCCTTTCTAAGTGAGCATTATCAATCAAGCATTCTTTAGAAATTCAGCTGGAAGATATTACTGAGACAAATCTCCTATTTAAGACAGCCCACGTTTATTAAACAGTAACTTATGTATGTACTAAAAAAAAGTCCTACTGTGCTGAGGTATCCTTGTACCCTTAGACTGACATCACTAAAGTATATACATTTTTAATACTGATAAAAATTACCTTATTGGAGGAGCTCATAGAAGAGTCCAGCTGTGTAGGGACAGAGTTGAGCCCCAGGTTTTGCTGGAGGAAGGAAAAGGACTCAATGGAAATAGGAGATCCTCAGTGCTTCCCAATGTTGTGCTTTCAATGCGCTCAGTGTTGGCTCTCAGGTTGCTGTTTTTCACGTGAACGTGAACATTTGGAAGCAAGGTCAGTTGGGGCTATTTAAGAAAAGTCAGAACAAAATTTCAATATAATCTAGAGCCATCGCATAGAGAACTCTGCAATAATAGTTACATCTTATAAATGAGAAAGTAAAAGTGCTCCCTTGTTTTTGTTTACTCAATAATTTTCTTCAAATGGTTTAGGAGATCTGCTTGGACACAACCAAGTGTGGCATACACGTCTCAGTTAAAAACTATTGGGATGGGCAGATGGGATCAGGGATTCTGGCAGGAAACATTATTCACAGTATGCACACCAGTGCTTCAGGGACACTTTACACCTCCATCAATACGCACTGCTTGATGTCATACACATGTAGCAAGGTGTTTTGCTCACAAATGTGTTACATATTTGATGCCCAGACCTGTTCTCACCTAACAGAAGACTTGCTGCTGATTTCTAGTGGCATTGGGCTGCTTAGATTCTCTGAGATGTTGATACGAACACTTCAGCACATTATCAAAACACCTAACACAAGTTACATAAAAAAAACCCAGAATACCACCACTGTGAATTGCACCTCCTCCTGAGAACACTAACAAAAGCCTCCTGAGTGTACCTTTAGAAGTGGAACCCCAAACCCATGTCTCATATTAACATTGATCCAGGACGGACACCGACACTGAAAAGCAACCACTCCCACCAAAGGAGGGTTTGTTATGCATTGCATACAACCCGATGAGAACGTGCCTCTTCCCAGGCTTTCATTGCTAATGTATAAGTGTCAGCAGGAGAACCGGAGGCCTTCCAACAGAAAATGTCAAATTTGCATCTGTGAGATATAAAATATTAATTTGGCTTCTGCCAGAAATTGCATTTGCTTTAAGCCTTGGGAGGGTATCAAACCAAAATCCCTGACATTTCATTTTGATTTAGTGAAACAGCAGAATAATTTCCCAGATCACGTTATATTCCCATTGGAAGGAGCACAGCTAATGAACTAGATGCTTTTAGTCAGTGGTAACAAGCACAGTGCCTGAAAGGCTGTTGTTCATCAGATGAAAATAATGTGTTCTACAATTCGCCAGAGAACTGCAGTGACTGCTCAGTGCCATTATGTCTCAGGTCTAGGTATGCAAAGGAAGAGCTCAACATGCTTCACAATGACTCTGCATGTATGTAAGATGACAGAATGACTGCAGCTCTGAGGTTTGTCCTGCAGCTGGGCATATATCTCTCCTGATCCATACCAGTATGCCAATCATTACCAGGAACACTGATTTGATATATTGGTCCTCATCAAAAAAGTATCAGAAAAATTATAGGGGCTTGACCTAAAAATCTGCTGATGTGTAAATTCAGAATTTTGAAACAATCTGATGAAACATATTGGACAGTTGAATGTACCAGCCCATAGCAATGGGGACATTCACCTTGTGGCCTCTCCAGCTGGAATGAACATCTCTGAAAATTACTGGATAGTGCTCCTCTACTGTTCTTACACACTCTGTGTGTAAGATTTTCATTGATCCTTAAGCAGTTGAAAGTCTTTTATTTGGTCTTATTATGGGATCAAAGCTGCAGCTGAGATTATAGCTTTCAATTGTGACTTGGATTTTTTTCAGCATAAATAGTGTTTCAGTGACTGCAAGGCTCATGAGAAGTATCACACTGACCACTTTCAAGTCTGCGCTCTGTAAGCAATGTTGTTTCTCTGTATTTTCTTTAATCGTGAAACCTAAGAGCTGTTATGTCCCTAAACCCACCATCATGCTGCTGATTAAACCCAACTGCGCAACGGGCAGAAATAAACACAACAGTTCTTACATGTACACACAAGGAAACACACACGCATTTGTCAAAACAGAATGACTAATCCAAAAAAAGATCATTTTCTCAGAAGTTCTGGGAACATAGTGATGCAGGAGAGAACAAAGAAGGAATTATTCCTGATCAGAACCAAGAAAATGAGATATCACAAGATGAAGCAATGACAAGAAAACCACCACAGATCAGTGAGAGAAATGCTGAAAGAATAAGCCACATGCTACACCAAGGAGGTAACATACCTGACTTGCTCAAAGAACTAGAGACAAGTGCTCCAATGTTTTTATTCTACATTTATCTAATGCTCAGAGTAAAAATGTATTACAGTTTATTTTTTTAGGTTGCATAAATAGATTGTGATAATCAGGTATGTGCCTCCACATGAAAAAAAAAAATCACAGTATTGTGAGATGACTTCAGAAAGTGCTGACAAGTGATCTGCCTTTATTGCCATTGAGGTGGTCACTCCCCTCAAGACTGAGTCACCAGGTGTTACAGGAAATGCAGCAGGAAGAGTAACAGCAGGAAAGTGCACACTGTCAGCTCACCATTTTGTAGGCAAGAGCCGATAACTGGGTGATATGTCTAATAATGTAAATATTGAATACTTTACTTAAGGAATACTTAATCTGTGTGCTCTGTCTTTGGTCTGAGAGAGGAAAGAAAAAAAAAAAAAGCAGAAATTGGAAATTCATTTTGTCTGCCCAGATCCGTCTGTTCTGGATCATCACCAAATGGCCTGGGTTGAAAAGGACCACAGTGATCATCTAGTTCCAACCCCCTGCTATGTGCAGGGTCACCAACAACCAGACCAGGCTGCTCAAAGCCACATCCAGTCTGAATATCCTAACATCTAACCTAAACCTCTCCTGTGATGGCCCCTGTCCCCAACTGTGCTGCTCACCTTGCCTTTCCATCATGCAGATGTTGGACCTTCAGCACCCACTGTGCCTTGTGGGAGTGGAGTCCTGGGAATGCTCTCTGCACAGAGAACAGCGGTCACAAACGTGAGTACAAAAGAGAGGATGCTGTGAGCAAGACAGGAAAAATGTGTTTCCTCATAGTTCCTACCTCTGCTGGACCTTTGCAAACACGTCACCTTGCAAGGAAGACAGTTTGTGATACAGTGTTACAGAATGCAGAATTCAACCATTTGTCCCCACCTTATTTAAAACACTGAGAAGTTGTTCCCTTTTTGTGCAAACATTTGCTGCCTTGGTTAAACATTGTGCAACCAAACAATTCAAAAATTACTGTTCTGTTGCAATGCTTATTTAACAGTGACATAAGCTGAATCTCTAAAAATAAAGCGTCAGAAATACCAGTGTTTCAAGGTGATTTTTACTGCTGTCAGCTATGAGGCAAAAGTTAACCTCAAACAAAATAAAATACTTTGTTGGTGTAGCAAGGGGTCACGACTGAGCATCAATCCAGAGCTGCAGGGGGGAATTCCATCTGAACTGTGCTCTCAGAGCCTTCATTTTAGACCTCACCTTTCAGAGATCCTGGGCACAGTCTGAACATCACTGCTGAGGCAGCACGGCTGTAAGGACTGCACACAGGAAAGGCACACCAGCCATATATCCCAGCTCTGCCCAGCCATTCAGAGCTCCTTCCATCACGGCCATCTGTACTACTAAATACTCAATTATGTTTCTATTCAATCCTTAAATAGCTGCCTTGATTTCCATGCATTTTTATAAAGGTCTGAACATGTGCCCAAGATCCATTTAGCTTTCAGAGTTGTGATTAAGCAGTATAGCTCATCGTTCATGCTTGTGCTTGACCACGTAGTGACTACCTTGCTGAGCATCTAAGGGATTTGTTTGTTGGGACCAGTCAGCAAACGGAGATTTCTCCGAAAGATATTATCACAGAAATTACAGAATCATTCAGGTTGGAAAAGAGCTCTAAGATCACCAACCCCAAACCACAGCCACCATGCCCACTGAGACACCTCCCTCAGTGTCACATCTCCATGATTCTGGACCACTCCAGAAACGGTGCCCCAGCACTCCCTGTGCCACACCAGCCTGTGCCAATGCCTGACAATTCTTTCACAGAAGAATTTTTTCCTAATATCTAAGCTGAACCTCCCCCAGCACAACTTGAGGCCATTACTTCTTGTCCTATTAATACACATTCCATAATCAAAAGAAAACAACATAAATAGATTAACGAAATGTTTGGTACAAATTAACAATCTGCAATGATTTACACCCCCTTGTTGTAACATATGACCGTCTTAAACTTAGCCACCCACTGTAAGCTCGTTTCCTTTCTCAATCATGGGTTGGGTGACTGAGAAATTCCATGTTCTTCTGTTTCACTATGCTCACAAAGTTTGTTTCTATACTTAAATGTTTGATGGTATCAAACAGGACTACCAAAAAAAAAAAAAAAAAGAGAGACTACAAGTCCTTCTTTACTGACACAGATCCATAATCCCTTACACTTCAAGTGTTATCCCTGTACTGCCCCAAACAACTCGTATTTAAGTGATGAATAGTTTTCAAGTTCTTCCCGTTTTTGTCATTTCCTGGCTTCAACAGTTCTGGTCTATACTAATCTCATAAATCTAATGGGAAACCACGTTAGAGTCCTTGAAGCCAATGAATATTCACTGGGACATAAATTACCTTCAACTGCTTTCTCTCTTCTTGTTTGCTTTTCTTTTAGTTCCCAACAGAACTATTACAACTGCACAGCAATCCTCCCTGTAGTCCAACCAACACTTAAGATACACAGGTTTTTAGAAAACTTTTCTGTTATATGCTCAATCAAAATATAGAAGACATCACTTTGACTTTAACATTGGCTCTCCTTTTGCAAAACTGCAACACATGTATCAGACTTTCTGAGCATCTGCAGGAAAACACAGTCTGAGCTGAGGCAGGACACAAAATCCATTGGGAAAACTCTGCTACCTGGATGTGCAAGAATGGAAACTGTTGCTGGTGACACTGAATACATACGTTCAACTTTACAAAATTTTGTCCATAACAAGAAAATACTAAGCATAGTCAGAAACCTTCAAAACCAAATTTCCCTGAAAAAAAAAAAAAGACATCCATATTATAAAGTCTCAGCTTAACCATTGGCAATGCCAGCCCAGAAAAGGACTAAAAGATGAACTGTTCAAGGCTTTGTTTATCCAGGGGAAAACAAAACAAAACAAACAAAAATACAAGAGGCAAATTACAGAGACAATAAGCTTTTGTGATTAATTACTGAGAATAAAATTCAAGCTGTGGTTATTGATGGAGGAAAATGGTATGTCCAATTAATTAAAAATCAAGTTACATAAAAAATAAAGAGCTTGTTTTTAACTCCAGCAAGACACTGAAGTTAGAACTGGAAAAGTTGCAAAACAAAATGCACTGAATTTTGTCCAAATTCCGAGTATTACAATACAGTCATCTGCTAGTGATTAGGAGCCAGTGAGGTCTGCTGTAAAATGCTTACAAAGGATATAGAAATAGTCTTAAAATATGAAACAAATTAGCAATAACTGGCCTCGAAGCATTTGATGAATGAGAGAAGATGGTAAGAAAATGAAAACCCCAGAATGCTTTTTAGATCAGCTGCCCTAAACAACCCTCACTTCAATTTCTAAAAGATCCCAATCAGCTGCGGCATTATCACAATGTAAACCACGGCATGATGTTAACACTGGGAAACTTGCCATAACGTACAGTTTGTTAAAGGAGAGTGAGAGGGGTTGTTAACATGTTACTTACTCCACCATCATCCTCTTTAATCTGGACCGAGCGATCTGGGATGAGAGGTATAAAGGTGGTATTGAGAAGATCAGCCTGCACCACTTTATGGATAACTAAGAAATGTCACTTCAAGTTGGATCACTTGCTTCTGTCCTTTTTGTTCGGATATTATATGCTGCAGAGCTTCATTTTTACCTTCACTAAAAAGTCTGAAACAAAAGGGCAGAGCAGAGCTCGAGGCTCTTACAGTCTTAAAGAGCCCCATAAGAACAAAGCTAAAATACTACTTCTAAATTTTGTGGAAGCAGTAAATGCCAGTGTCGGCATGTTTAAGAACGCGTCCCCAACCCCAAAACCATCTGAGCTTTTATTTTTCCAAGCAAAATGTTTATAAATTGGACTCACATTAGATCACCAGCAAATTACAGCAATGTAATCTCTACAGCAATTTAGGAAATTGCCGTGGACGCTGCCTTTTGTCCCTGCTTTGTGGTACAGGCTTTCTGTCCCTGCCACCCTGAACTTCAGGTCGCCGTTACTCACATTGCCTTTGTTATGCTCTGGAGAAAGGAAACACTGATAGCAACACTGACAGAGAGCAGGAAAAGGAGGAGAACATTGGAGGGCAAAGGAAGCTCAAAGGAAGTGAAGGACAGGGTCAGAGCCTCACGGCTCAGCACCGACACATCGGGGGTCTGCAGGCTTCACCAGCTTAACAGCCAGAATCTGTAAAAGGTATTTTAAGCCCTTATCTCTTTATGACCCTGACCTACCACAAAACCTCAGCCACCAACACAAAAAGCGCCCGTGTGCTCTAAATAGAGGCTGTGTCACTGCAGGTACACCGAGTCGCTGCTCCGTGAAACCAGGAAACCTGGTTTCTGTGGGGCAGGTGAGAAGTTCTGCCCCTGCACCTGGTACAGGGAGAGTCATCCCCTGCGTAAAGCACGTAACCTTTCGCTCAAAGGCAAACCCAAATGCCATCACCCCTGGTCCACAACCCCCTTGCTCCCCCCCCGGCAGGTGGGAGGGCTGAGGGAAGGGCAGGACCCGAGCGAGGAGTTCCCCTCAGTGCTTCCCGGGCGGGGAAGGGAGGGCCGTGCCCCCGCTATTAGTACCGTCCCGCCCGCATCCCGCCTCACAGCGCTCCGCCAGCAGCATGCCGGGGTTCCGCGCCGCGCTGCCCGCCGCCCTCCTCCTCCTTCTCCTCAGCTCCTTCCCGCCCGCCGCGGCGGAGCAGCCCCCGTGGCCGTGGACTCCGGGCGCGATGCACGCGCTGAATCCCAGCGACCGCCATGCCTCCAGGGCGGCGTGGACAGCGCTGCACTACAGCAACTACCACGAGGCGTCCCCCAGCACGCTGCGGGCTCTGCGGCAGGTGCTGAAGGCCACCGTCAAGGTAGGAGGGGCGACGGGCGGTGGTGGGTGGGGGGGCTGCCCTCAGGGCTGAGGGACGCTGAGCGAAGCGTTTCCCGCCTTCCCCGCACAGCAGCTGCACGGGGCGCCCCCACACGCGGCGGCTCCACGCCGCCCTGAAGCGCTGCGGATGCGCTGTTTCGGTCCTCCAGCCTTCCACAGGGATCCCAGCGGCGTGGCTTCAGATTGGGATGTCTCATGAAAGATCGACGCCGATTTGCACACGGTTTCACAGATGAGAAAAATAATTCCCGATCAAATTTGATATAGCGACTGCAGAATGTCCAGGTTTTGTGCAGGACCTCCCGTCTCACGCGGTGAGCAGTGCCTGGAGGTACCCGGCTGGTGCCCCGCTGCACACCTGCACTGCTCGCACAACAGCCCTCGCACTCCGCTATGGATACAGCTGAGGCTGGATGTGCTGTACGGTGGCACTTCACAGAATCACAGAATGGCCAGGGTTGGAAGGGACCTCAGGGATCATGAATCTCCAACCCCCTGCCACACGCAGGGCCACCAACCTCCTCATTTAATACCAGACCAGGCTGCCCAGGGCCCCATCCAACCTGGCCTTGAACACCTCCAGGGACGGGGCATCCACAGCCTCTCTGGGCAGCTGTTCCAGCACCTCACCGCTCTCTTTGTAAAGAATTTCCTCCTGACATCCAACCTAAATCTCCCCTCCCTCAACTTAAAACCATTTCCCCTCATCCTGCAGTTATCAACCCTTTCAAACCCCTCCTGTTTGTAGGCTCCCTTTAGGTACTGAAAGGCTGCAATGAGGTCACCCCACAGCCTTCTTTTCTCCATGCTGAACAAGCCCAGCTCCTTCAGCCTGTCCTCATAGGGGAGGTGCTCCAG